GAATTTTGGTGCATTCCTATTTGGCCTTCTAGTTAATACTGCTTTATTTTTGTGTCTAATAAAAACTGATATTTTCCACAGAGGATCACAATGATGGAGAATAACAACATGATGTCCAGATATGCATCTGAATTCCATGAGTTGGAGAAGATCGGTTCTGGAGAGTTTGGTTCTGTTTTCAAATGTGTCAAGAGGTTGGACGGCTGTATTTACGCCATCAAACGCTCCAAAAAGCCCCTGGCAGGCTCTGTGGATGAGTAAGTGAACATAACATCTTTTTTTAAATACTATTATATACTCCATAACACCAACTATTGAATGGGGATTCTTACTGCTTTTTGTTTATTTCTATGAATTCTCCCCCAATAGGCAAAATGCACTTCGTGAGGTATATGCACATGCAGTTCTTGGACAGCACCCCCACGTTGTGAGGTATTATTCTGCTTGGGCAGAAGATGACCACATGCTGATCCAGAATGAGTACTGCAACGGAGGAACCCTGTCTGATGTTATTGCTGAGAACAATAGACGCATGCACTTCCTTTCTGAGATGGAGTTGAAGGATCTGCTGTTGCAAGTCTCTCGTGGACTCAAGTACATTCACTCTACAGCACTTGTTCACATGGATATCAAGCCAAGTATGTATATGCTCGTTACACCCTTTACATTTTTTAGATGCGTTTTAGACTTATAATGTAATTTATATATTCATTTAATAAATTTTTTTTTTCAGGCAATATATTCATTTCACGCAAACCTGCTGCTAGTGTAGAGGAATTTGAAGATGAAGAAGATGGTCCCACCACAAGAGTGGTGTACAAAATAGGTAAGATACTAAAATTACATGCCCAGATGATTGTAACGGTAACATGTTAAAACATATTTGGCTTTATGAAGTGGATGAGATTGACAATATTTTCTATATCAGGTGATCTAGGTCATGTTACAACGGTTACCAATCCACAAGTTGAAGAAGGTGACAGCAGATACCTGGCAAATGAAGTTCTTCAAGAGGTATATACTATTATTTATTCTTGGTCTTAAAGAAATTCCTAGCAGGTAACAATGGTCTGTGTAGTGCCACATACTAATTTTGCTGTTTTTGCCCACAGGACTACAGTAACCTGAAAAAGGCAGACATATTTGCCCTTGCTCTGACTGTAATCGGTGCCTCTGGAGCAGAGCCCCTTCCTACCAATGGAGAAAAGTGGCATAAAATCCGACAAGGCATCCTGCCCCATATCCCACAAGTGCTTTCTCAGGAATTTTTAAGCTTGTTAAAGGTAAGGGTTCTACTACAAATTAATCCCATAAACTTCTCACTAGTGCTTTTTATTTCTGACAGATCTGCGTTGAATGATGTCTTGATTAAAATGTGCATATATCTTCCTGACAGCTTATGATCCATCCTGACCCAACACGGCGTCCCTCAACCTCTGACCTCGTCAGACATCCTGTTCTTCTGACTGCTTCCAGAATGAGTGCCGATCAGCTGCGTGTAGAGCTCAACGCTGAGAGATTCAAGAACGCACTTCTGCAAAAGTATGATATATTCCATTTCTAGGGGCAGATTTCAGGCTAGTTTTAGAAGTATTTTACTTATTATAGACCTATCAAATGCTGTTGTTTGAAATTTTACTTTTGTTGAACTGAAAAAATTCTGGTTTTCGTTTCTCAGGGAGCTGAAGAAAGCTCAGATGGCAAAGGCTGCAGCAGAAGAGAGGGTTCTGACCACAGACCGTGTTCTTACACGTTCCACAGTCCAATCCAGCTCCAGAACTTCTCGACTCATCGGGAAAAAGATGAACCGTTCTGTTAGTCTCACCATTTATTGAACTGAACCCCAGACAAAGGAGATTATCAGCCCTAAGTGGGAACTACAGTGGTGCTTATCAAAGACTTGGGCAACAGACAGATTTGTCTGTAGTCAGAAGGATGGCGCAGACTGTTTTGTGACATAGTGCTTATACTGTTTGGGACAAGTACCATGGGCTTTACTGAAGCTTGGGTCCTTCTGCATTGTATAGGCACTAGTGTCTGAGTACATAATGCAGATCTGCCCTTACCATTTAGGTGTGCCTTCTCAAAATCTCTGACAGAATTGCCTTAAGATGGACACTTTTTTTTTT